TATCCCCTCCAGCTGGCTAGTTCGGACACGAACCATTAGCACGGACGCAAACCATGTGCGGTTACCGAGCGATACGACGTAGTTGAGTTGCACTTTCTCAGGCGGCGCGTCGGAAAATGCAACAAAGGCCGGGATGGCCCGATGGCCTCTCTCAGGTTTCTCTCTGACGTGACTGACGTGAGAAATACGTATATTTTAGCATTTTTTCATGAGGATCAAGTACGTGATTGAGGAAGGATGGTAGTCGAAGAAAAGGTGGACCTTTCGAAGGAGAATCAGACGCAGAATGGAGTTACGGCGAAGGAGCCGAGGACGTATTCCTTGGAGAGTATCCTTTCGTGAAAGCCTCGGGTCTCTGACCAGAGTTCACTGTCAATGCCATATGTTCTTCCGTAACCTCTCGCTATCGCTTTATTGAAAATTTATTAAACGTTTTGCTGGCTTTATTAAATTAACGATGCAGCCAATTAACATAGCGTAAAATTTGTTAATTTGACGTGTAGCGTAAAGATTGATTCTGTCACTGTCGTGTTTGATTTATTGCAATTTCAATCTGTTGCCCTTATCAATTCCTGACAAACGTGTAGTCCTGAAAATAATCAAGGAAGCGCAACAGCAGCATGGGTTGAGACACGGCGATTACCAGCGGTATCGCGGTTACTGCTCGAGAAGACTCAGGAGATTGCGGAAGGTGTTGAAAGTGCCGCAGGGTGACAGGCGTCATTTCAAGAGGAGAGACGTCACCGCGACTATGGTCAGCGAGGACAAGTTCCTGCAAGTGCCCTTGATGATGGCCGAGCGCGCGTGGAGCCACGCGATGCAACTGCGTCAGGAATCTAACACGGAGCCCAGGAAGAAGTTTCATCTGATATCGAGGCTCAAGAAAGCAGCTGCATACTCGTTACAGTTGCAAGATTTAATAGAGGTATGCTTTTATAAAAGAACCGCTTTTGAAAATTTGTCTATAACTTTATACATACCTCTTAATTTTTCTACTTTGTTTTATTAATTAGCTCCATAAAATTGTCAAGACTGTACATTATTTTATTGTTTTGTTATGTTCTGTTTAGAATATAAATTGCGACGCACGTACGAAACTCGAGGCTCAGGCATACGTAGCCTGGATGAACGGTTCCCTGCAGTTTGAGTTGCAACTGTGGAAACAGGCCATGGAAAACTTGAAGAAGGCACAGGTGGTATATGGTAATCTGGCATCTGCGCTGCCAGAACTGGAGCAGATCGTGTACAAGGCACGCGTCGAGGAGTTGGCACCCAGTCTGAGATACTGCGCTTATAACATTGGAGATACCAGCGCTATGGACGATCTCATGCAGATGCGTGGGCAATTGAGCGGTGAACTGATGGCCAGCCTGGACTCTCTGATAGCTCAGACGCGGGAGAAGCAAGCTAATATCGAAGAGGTGACATGGCGTGGGAAATCCTGCGGTACGGTACCACCACGAGCGGCTGGTTTGATCATCGCAGACTCCAGATTGAATCAAGCTCTGGAGAGAGCCGCCACCAATCAAGCCAAGATTGATCTGCTGGAGGCGCATCTGATTGACTGCAAGGATGCTCTATTGGCGGTGCGTGACCACTTCAAGAATGAGTTGAAGAAAGAGAATGACAAGTGGTCGCCACAGCAACATCTGATCAATTATCTGCAATATATTCGGCTATCTCGTACATTGGAACGCAATCTGACGTTGGTCAAAGCGGCAGAGGAATCGGATAAAGCCAAGCCACAGGATATAGTGCGTTTGTATGAGGCAGCGTTGCACAATCTTGTGGAGATATCTCAGTTGCAAGACGACCCAGAATTTTTGGAGGAGCAGGAGGCGAAAACAAAATGTTACAGAGCCTTCAGATGTTTCTACATGGCCCAGAGTCTCGCCAATCTGCATCGTTGGCGCGAAGCTATGGCCTTATATCAGAGATCGCTGCAGCATGTTAAAGATGCACTTAAATATAACGCGATTCTTCCAGCTGCGCTGAAGGAAGCCTTGTGCAATTTGGAGACCTCTGTGGAGGCTGCGCAGTATGCTGCTCATGCCCACAGCGTTCTGGAGGACGGTCAGGAGGAAGAGAGTGGAACCAGTAAGCTTGCCAAAAGCAAGAAACCGCTGTACGAACGTTTGCACGAGTACAGAGAGGATCCGGCACTTCTCACGAAGCAACCGAACGTCTATAAACTGCCACCACCGATGCGTAGCATTCCTTGCAAACCTTTGTTCTTCGATCTGGCTTTTAACATGGTCGAGTTTCCTGATCTGTCGCATAAAATGGGCGATCAGGCTAAGAGGGGACAGGCTGGTCTTACCGGCTTTGTCAAGGGTCTCTGGGGTTGGGGAAACAAATGAAATTATATACAGCAGATACAGCAGAAGTTTGATATGCGAAAGAATTTTAGACACATTGTACAGACAGTATTGTTATGATGCTGTATATTGTTTCTACTGTTTCTATAGCAACCATTGGTCCAACAAGCATTTTATTTTAATGCAAATTGAATTTACACTAATATTATTGAAGGGAAAAAATAAAATGGAACACTTAATGGATGTCTGTTATAGATCAGGATCTATTTCCTGTCCTTTCGTAATCCTCCTTTCCTCTCTTACAATATATGCAAGTGTATTGTACGATAAAATAATATTTTTTATTTTCTTTTTGCAACTTCATATACTGTAGTATAAAAACAATTATCTCACGGAGATACTTGTATATACAATTTTCTGTAAATAAATTGGTCTGAGATAAAGACGACGGTAGAGCATCACGTGCAAGTAACGCTAAAAATCACGCGCACTGCAACTGTCTTCAAGCCTCCTTACTTTTGGTGAGTTCTTCGACTAATTTTCTAAACACCTGTGCGACTTGACTGTCAGGTAATGTTACCAGAACACTTTGTCCCTTGTCCGCTAACTGGCCGACTTGTGGGTCTATAGGTACCTTAGCTAAAAATGGAACCTTTACCATCTCTGAAAGGGCTATCCCGCCGCCTGAGGAGAATATATTGGTACATTCCTGTAAAAAGTAAGATTTATCAAAGCTATATCGAATAGTAATATAAAATTACAATTGCGAATGTGAAAGAGTACTTACCGTACATGAAGGACAGACAAAACCGCTCATATTTTCAATGATGCCAATTATATGAATGCCAGTTTTTCTACAAAATGTCACCTCTCGTAGAACATCATCCACCGCAACTGCTTGCGGAGTAGTTACTATGATCGCACCATCACATTTTACATTTCTGTAATTTCAGTTGGAATGTCTTAATGCAGTCACACAAATGTGTTAACTCTATTTTATCTCACCCATAATTAAATATAGATATATATGTATATTATTTACTAATTAACCTTAAGTTCTCCATGACTGTAATGTGTTCGTCAGAAGTGCCAGGTGGTGTATCGATGATCAGATAATCGATGTCCCGCCAAACCACATCTGTTAGAAACTGTTTGATCATACCAGTCTTTTTGGGCCCACGCCAAACCACACTGTCGTTCTGACTTTTCAGGAGGAAACCAATCGACATGACGGACAGTTTCTGCTCTGAATCAGCAAATACTGGTATCCATCTGTCGATTATACGTGACATGTTGGCAGTGGATAAATTGTTAATAAGGAATTATCGCTCAATATAGGACATACCCCTCGGAGGACTGGTGAACATCTTCTCCTTCCAAGTTTAGTAGGTAAGGCACACTAGGACCACAAAGATCGACATCCAAGATCCCGACCTGTCGTAATTTACACTTTGTTACATTTAATTTTATTTAACTAATTAATCAATTTCCATCAAGGTTAAACCGCATCGCAAAAATATCTGGCTCAAAAATGAAAATTGGTCAAGTGGTTTATTAAGTATAACGTTCGCTCTTTGTTGCATTAGCAATATCAGAAGATAGTTGTAAAATTATTTAACTGTATTTCGAGAAGATAATTATTGAACGAAGCGTCGTAAATCTTTTAGAACTTTTGGAGCTTGTGGACACTCACTCGAAAGCCTGATTCCTTCAAAGCAAGTGCCAGCTGAGTGCTGATTGTCGATTTGCCGACACCACCTTTTCCTGAAAGTACTAACAGCACGTGCTTCACTCCTTCCAACATCGTGGCAAAGTTAATAATTGAACGACGGAGAGCCGAATTCGAAACAGGCGATATAGCGATCGCGGACTGACGTTACGACGGTTGTTCAGCAACACAAAAGCATAAATGAGGTCACGTCAAGCTTTCACATGACCGACGATAATCAATCATGTTCGACCATGCGTAGTGTCAAATGACGAACAATCCCGGCGTTATTGTATTTCACATATCGGACTGTAAACATAACCCCAACGTGACGTTTCAAGCGACAGCACTTGCAGCGCTACTTTACCGAATAAAATATATTCTAAAGAATTCTTGGAAAAACTAAGTTTAATATCGAATGACAATTCTTAATATAGAAACTATATAAAATTTAAGTATTAGATTTTTGTAAAATTCGGTGCCAAGTTCATTGCTTAGCACTTATTCAGCGATAAAAATTGTTTATCTATCTTTTCATTGCAAATGTCATTGAATTATTTAATTAGGTGAAAATTTAACGCTCGAATTTTGACATTTGACTTTCAGTGTTTAAGTTTGTCATTATCCATTCATTTTATTGTCGAATAGATATGTGCAACTTGGTATTTGAAAAATCCCGCGCATTTTTTCCTCGCGCGGCAACCGCGTGAAGTTTGTCGCCGCACGCAGCGCCCTGAAGGCGGCCGCGATACGCGTCACAGCCGCGTCAGCGCTCGGTGGTCGCCGGGGTCGCCCGCCTGGCGAGCAGTAGTTGTCCGCGCGTCCGTCAGAGCGCGCGTAGCTCGTGCCGCGTTGCTGAGCGCGATCTGTTTGCGCGCCGTCGCCGCGTCGTCAGCGTCGTGTTCAGTCGTGTCAGCCCGCAGCCGTCTGTGGTTCATCGCTACGTGTTGTCGTCATCGTCATCGTCGTCGTCGTCGTTGCACCGTCATCGTCCGTGTATCGTTCCCGCGGGTACGCGCACAGGGTGCCCCGGTCGACACGCTCATCGCCCCGCGAGCAACGTCGCGCGCCGCCATGGATCACATCGGCCTGCTGCTGCAGCACTCGCAATACGTATACGCGATCCCCGTGGGTATCGTGCTGGTATGCGCCATTCTCGTGTTCGCCTTCGGCTTCAAGAAGGCGGAGCAGCCGCCGTTCGCGCAGCTTTCCGCGAGCTCCGACGTGGACCGGAAGCTCGGCAAGAAGCGCGGCAAGGTCCGCGAGAAGGTTAGTGACATAAACGGCATCGGATCGGCTACGCGCGACCCGGCCGCGCGTCCCTCCCTCCCGCTCCCTCTTATCTCTCCTAAACTCCTAACGTTCCCGCGCCCTTTTTCCCCGCGGACACGGCGCGACCGCCCGCCATATGGTGGCTCGCTTGTGGGCGCGAGTCGATACACACGCACACACGTTCGCTAATCAGCTGGTCCCTCCGGACCGAGAGGGTGGCTGTTTTCCTTCTCCCCGCGCGTCGTGACGTAACGCCGCGACCGAGTCTGTTTTCTTTGCCAGGTGGCTCACCTCATCCCCGTCACATTCCTGAGATATTAATCTTGTCGCGTGTCCAGCGCTAAATCTGTTCTTTTTATCGGCGCTTTCTACAATCGCTTTTTGTCCTCTTTCTCTTACCAAAGTCCAATCGCTTACTTCTTCAAGTATTATCTCATGTTGATACCAAATCTGCATATCAAGTAATTAATTTATAATTAGACATTTTTTCTTAAGTATATAATTAACATGTGTGTTGAAAAAAAATTTCAGATTTTCCATTTAATTCAGAATTTTCATTTAATTTAATTTTAATTTTACATTTAAATTTAATTTTATTGACAAGTGACAAAAAATACTATTTATACATTCCATTCAATATTGTTTGGAAAAAAGATAAATTATATTTTAATATCAGACACGGTATATGGAAATTTGTCGAGCGTTCTTATATATTTTGTTATAGAAAGCTGCTAATGGACAAGTTGCATCTGAGAAAACAAGCCCAGCTAAAAAGACATTGGCAACGAAAGCCGAAGCTCCTAAGAAGGCTACCAAAGAAGATGATGTTGACGGGAAGTTGAAAGAGCGTAAACAAGAAGACAACAAGATTGTCGCTACTAAGAAAGAAAAGGAGCAGCTGTCGACTAAGGCTGGGAAAGAGAATAAAGTGGAGCAGGCAAAGAACAAAAAGAATTTGAAGAATTTATTCCAGGAAAAACCAGTGGACTTTGACGATGGTTAGTTGATTTACATATATTAGCATAAGATAAGACAATTTTTTTCATACAATTGTTTCAAGCTATTATCTATTGATAACAGGAGATTGGGAGCAAGCTTATTCTCGCAAGGATAAGAAGAACAAGAAAAAGGAGGAAGAATCTCCTTCGAAGAAAAATAAGAAGACTTCTAAGAAGGCTGATTTAATAAACGAAGCCAAGCAGAAAGAACAAGACAAACCCGAGGTCAAGGATAAAATAGCTAAGGAAACCGAAAATAAGGAGCTCAAAGAGAAGGAGAAGAAAGAAGTGATTCTTACATCTATCTCTGATGAGGAGATAGGTAAAGCCAAGGAGCCGCAGAAGGAAGAGGAAAGCAAGGTATATCTTTATTTCACATAGCATTAAAATCTAGCTAACAATTTATAAATGAAATATTCGATCGTAGATTGAGAAGGTCGAGAAGGAAGAGAAGAAATCTGGAAAATCGAAAAAGAATAAGAAAACTGTTGAAGACGAGAGTACACCCGTTTCGGTACCATCTACACCAAAGACAGATAATAAGCCTGTTGCGGAAGAGGAGCAGAAAAAGCCGCTCGATGTGGAAAAAATAGACAACGATGTAGAGGAAAATGAAGCGGTAGAAAGTAAAGAGAAAACCGCCGTGTTCGACGAGTTAGGAGGTTTGTTGTATTAACAAGGAAATTACGAGATACTTTTATTTACGAATTATTCAATATATCATTTGTAATTGTGTTCTAGATGTCTGGACAGAAGCAAAGCCTCAGAAGAAGAGTAAAAAGAAGGCTCGTAAAGATAACTGAGGACAATTATGTGTAACGCTAATGATATTCCTTCTTTCGAAAAGGAAGAGTGAGAATTTCTGCTCGGTCCAAAGGGCGTTTGTCGCTTTCGACAAATCAGGTGTGTTTTAAATGATTTGTTAATTGCCACCTGACCAAATCGTTCCTTCCCCTTTATACATAATACCAATCAAGCTTAGGTTGTTGTTCAATTATGATTTTTTAGTTGTCATGATTTTGAGATCGCGTGAGAACGTCACGTGTAGAACGAAAATTTTTTTTCGTATGTTTTTCATTTCTTATAGTCCACTATTTTGCATTTAATAAGAGTGGCATAAGTCATAATTTTCACATTTATCAGGCAATTCTTGTACACATACATTAGGTTTCTTAGGTACCTTTACACATGTCTATAATAGGATATTGTTTTATTTGTATAATTAGAATATGTATAGTGGATTTGTATCATAAAGTTTTGTAATAGAGTTATTGAATGGTACTTATGCCATTTACACACACACACACACACACATTTTGTGTTTTTATGGATTAATAATCTTACGAAGAATATTTTGTATACTATTCCATACTATTCCTACATTAAGAATAACAATTCTCTGCGTGTATTGTATATCGTTAGTTAAACGCCGGTTTTCATTGACATCTCACATTACATTGTATGTGTATGAACGGTTGAAAGGCAAAAACATCAAGAGACACGGCAGTGTCTCGCGCCAAGTACACGCGGAGCGAGACCGACCGTGATAGAAAGTACGTCTCACGGTAATATTCATAATGCAGGACAATCTTTGGAAGCGGCAAACTTATATTGTTGATGTGTAGAATGGGTCTTAATAAAATTATATTTTTCTACACGATTAGTCGCGCTCAGTGACTGATTATTTTCTGCTTCAAATGCTCGAAAATCTATTTTCTAATAATTAATGCATTCCCATTTAGATACATCAATAATATAAGTTTTATGGAAGGATAACGTTACGTAAATTCATGGCAATTAGTCATATAAATGTGATAACAATGATGATTAACTTAAATAGATCTTGATAATAGAAATCAAGTTCTTTTCTGTGAAAACGTTATACAATTATTTTTCGAGTCTTTGTGTGCAATAAAGTTGAATATGCACGTGTATCGCAGAGAGTTGAAGCGACAGGTAAAGATATTACGAGCAGTATCGATTTGTATTTAAAAAAAAGCGAAAATATCAAATTATTTGATACTTTAACAATAATTATAAATTGCAATCAGTTTTCTACTTATAATAAAATAAGTAATTTATGACAAAATAAGTTACAATTTATGACGAGAAGCATAAAATTAACAGTTGTGGAAAATTTGTGTATTCGTGAAGCTTCAAGAGTGACTCAATACTGTTCGTAATGATCCAACCAATTAGTTTAATGGGCTAGTTAGCTGAGTACTTACATTCACGCGGAGAGAAAACCGAACAAGTGGAGTCTGGAGGGACGGCCACGGCTTTCGAATTGCGAGGAAGAAATTAGCATATTTTTCTAAGTATTGTTCCAAATCGCCACATCGTCTACATCGCACGGCATTCGCGACGAGTCGCAGTCGAGTTTGGCGAAACGCGCCGAACGTATACCGCGTATTCCGCGAATACTACGTTTGTGCACATTCGACATGTATTCGCGACAGATGTGTGGAACGTCTGTTATCGCGAGGTTCTGCGATAGAGATTCGAGCGATACTCTTTCCCACGTGGTAGGATACGACGAAGATTTTCGCATGAAAATCGACTAAATAGAAACGAGAGAGCGCGAGATGGGGGAGGTGAACTGACTATAAAATCGAGGAAGTATTATATTGCCACTGTACATATGTTTATATTAACGAGCAATGTTCTTCTTATTAAATGTATATGTGCAATGTTGCGTTGTACGGTTCACCGATACGGTCTCTGTGGCGGCAGGGATCCTTGATTTTAGGGATATTTTTCCAAAGAATCGATCAGCGTCCGACAATACTGTGTATGATCTATTTATTCTGAAAATGGCACGAGTTAAATTTCACGACACACAATAGATTTGAACAGGCGGGAAAAAGCTTGGTGCACAATTGTATAATTTTGTAAAAAAGATTCTCGGATTTAACTCGTCTCATTTTCCAAATGGACAGCACAATACGCTCTCATTATAGATCCTATAATGTGCCGTGCATTTTTCATCATACCGATCTCTCGGTATGGTCCACGTAGCATTCTGCAAATGTACCTCTCCAGTTCGTGCATCGAAATAACGATAGCGCAATTACGATGGCCTACTTTGGACGCGTGACTCGATATAGCTACAGTTTTGCGACTGTACGGCACACACGAGGACTCTGATCGCATTCGAAATATCGACTGTAACATAAAGATAAGATAAGCAGAGAAAAAGAGAGAGAAAGAGTAAATAAAAGCGCGACACGACAGTGTCGAATATATATTATATACATATGACATAGAGTTACGCATATAATTTATTTTATTCACCGAAGAGTTGCTGCGACCACAACAGCATGTGACAAATTAATAATAAATCCACGATATATAATAAATATTATATATACAATATAAAAAAAAAACATACGTTGTGTAAAATACGTGTGTTTCGATTAACTTAAATCTTATCGTTAGCTTATGTATGTGAGCGTTAGCACTAAGGTAAAACCAAGGAAATGTGACACAAACGAAATATTTGCGTACGGAACTAATGGGAGGAGATATAATATCGACGAGAAATATTCTGTTTCTGAATCGCACGTGATTATGCGCTTCTCTCTCTTCTGGAAATTAGAATATATATTATTGAGATATATTCTATATATATATATATTTGTGTGAGATCTAAAAGATATATATATATTTATTAACTTCAGCTACAGCCACGTGGACTTGATTTACAAAGATATATATAAATATATATTTTCGCATTCTTGCTCGGCGAACAGAACATTTCTCGCGAAAATATGATTTTTGGTTGTGATATTTATGGAAAAATGTACGAATAGCAGGATGAGTTTCAAGGCAAATTAGAGAAAGACGGAAGGAGAAGGAGAAAGAGAGAAAGAGAAGAGAGACAAACTGAATAAAAGTTATATTTTTTCAGCATTTAATAGGAAGCATTTACTGCGCCTGTCCGATTTGTAAACATATATTTTGGAATTCGAAGAAATTAGGCCACGGATAGACAGGTAATAATATAAGAATTTTCAATTCATTTTTTTTTTATTAGTCGAGCGAACGAATATTTTTCATTTGTTTCTTGAAGATAATTTACATTATTAAAGATAGGTATTTTACTTGTACAATCCTTATCTCTACTTAATTTTATTCGTATCTTATCCAACCAAGTACACTTGGATAAATGGATTAGCAAATATTTATATGCCGCATACATTTAGTTGTATTAGATTAATATTTTTCTTTATATTCATAGAAATTTGTTATACGATAAGGATTACATATTATACAAATACACATGTATGTGTGTATATATAATGTGTATTTAGAGGATAAGCAATTTCTACAGAGGTTTCCCAATTATTTTTATTTTAATATCGTAATTATTGTTACTTGCGTAAAAGGCCTTTCTTCGTGTATTTGCTACATTTCCTCTTAAATTGTTTCACAGGTTTCTCGCTTTGCCCCCCGCTAGTCTTCGCTTTAACAGGTTTGCTTTCAAGATCCGTTATCGATCTCCTCGCCTTGCTGTTGACCAACAATCTGGCGGACTTCCTGGACGTTCTGCTCTTGCTCTTAACTCTTTTCTTCCCCTTTTTCCTCTTCTTTTTCTTACGGTCCATATTAGCGATTATGGCTTCGGCGTCCGCGGATATTTTTATCTTCGACTGCTGGGTGGTGATCGTCACCCTCGTGAAGGAATCGTAGAGGACGTCCCCACAAAATTCGCCGAAGCAATACTCCTCTCCGCATTCTCTGCAAGTTTTCGCGCTGCTTTCGATTATCCCCGCGCGATTCTTACTCCGTCTAATAGGACTCGTTGGCGAACGGCGTTCTTTCATCACGGTCTTCGCCTCTAATTTGCCCATCTCCACCTTGAAAAACAAAGAGATTAAAAAGATGAGCATTTTGTTCTCGCATCGAGACATTAAGAACATTGAAAAATTTATTGCCTAAGATAAATCCTCACCAATCTCGAGAACATTTCTTCGTCTTGGCGAAGCTTCGGTCTTATCGGAGTCAGCATCCGCCAATCGATGGCGACCTGTTGCAACTCCTGTAGATCCAATTCCCTCATATCTGGTGGAACCGGATCTCCGTAGGCCCATTCCCTGCCGATGTTTTTGAGTTCTTTCTTGGTCGCTTTCCAAGAAAACTCTTTGTCGCGAACCTTCGTGTCCTCTCTTTTTACCTTTGTACAATTTTTTCTAATTAGATCTTAGTATCCCCATGATTGAAAGCTCAATGATAATCGAAATAAGAATATATAATTGATTTTAATATAATTGCAGTGAATAGGATGTAATAGTTTGTCATATGATACAAATTTGTAGTGCATTATTATTGGAATGGCTGCGAACCTTTTCCGGTTTGATCTTAAACTCCGGACAGTTCTCCTTGAGTCGCCGGAATTCCTCGTAAGAATTGCACGTTGCTTTACTTAAATCGGGTATCAAATTCGCGTCTTTCTTGTCGTCCTTCAGTAGATCGTCCAATTGGAAGGCCATTATCTAAATCTGCAACGCGAGAAAGAAGTTTGAGCTCGTCTCGTTGTTTTGCTCGAAGAAACAAACAATATTCCCCGACAAGATCCCTTTCGCATTCTATTCGGCCTCACTTTCTACGCAAACGAAAAGAAAAACAAAAGGGTGTTCTGATTGCAAGGAAATTCTGCAGGCGCTTAAAAAATTTCGGATGCAGCGGGTGAGACCAGACATCGCTCGGAATCCCACTCGATCTGCTTCATCAGAAGTCCCTGAAAAAGAAACGAATGCATCTTGAGGACTGAACTTTTACGAAACTCTTCCATCAATAATTCACAATTCAATCTTGAAAGTTAATTCAAACTTTTATTTTGATCCGAAATATTGATGTAGAAATTAAATGTAACTTTTGTAATAACTATCACTTTGTGTGATCTTTATAAAGTAATTATTTTTTCACAACTGTGTGACGACTATAAATATCGTGATTATCGTTTTATCTACTTGTTATACGTACGCTTCTCAATGACGTTAGTTTGGACAAAATTTCTTGTCCGCACCAGACATTAGAGCTATCGTCATCCGGTCGTTTTGCATGATTCGCATCGTTTTTCGACCGTAATTTTTCGGCACGTTCCTCAATGTTAATTTTCCCATCTTTATCGATCCGCAGAGGCACAACGGAATTCAGACTGTCCATCGATAGGTCGGCGTCGTAGTTCTCGGGTTTTGCCTTACGCCTGACGGTGTTTCGGCTCTTTGATTTTCCGTTACTTGATTTCCGCCGGTCGGGGGACGGAGATCTGATAAAGATGAATTAATTTAGTTTTGGAATGATTAAGTAGAGCACGCAACCGTGCGTTACAATAATTTATTAAAAGAACTCCGTTCCCCAAAGTTCTTGTTGCGAGGATATCTTCATTTATTTATCACTCTTATTTCTTTAAACAATATAATGTCCTTTAGCTTCTGAATACATGTGCAACTATGTGTATCGATTTTCATCTTTTAAACAGTTTTGGAAATGTTTTCTTTACCTGGACCCTTCGTCGCTGGATTCGATTTGTCGCCTTCTTAATCGCAATCGTCTCTGATAGTGCGGATCTTTTTCGCTTTGCGTTCGATATCGTGTCCCTGGGCTAAGAGTATCATTAATCATTATCACATTCGCAATATCTGTGCCGAACAAATGATTTAGGAACAGCTAATGTTTAAATGTTACTGCATCATATCTTTGATTACCGATTGGCGTTCCATCGCGGTCTGCTATCGATCGTGGTTCTGGGCTGCGATTTGGATCGCGGAAGTGCTTTCATAGGGATTTCTTCACCGGGACTCGATCTTCAAAGAATTATAAACACACTGAAGTATCGCAATTTTTATTGATGAATTTTTTAAAGCATTTTCTGCCAGGCGAAAACGACAGCAGGTTTAAGCTTTACCAAAAAGTTTTCAGCAGATGCGTTCAAACTTCAAGCAGCAAACTTGAACAAAATTTCAAGAAAAATAATATCACAAATAATGTGTGAAATGAAGAAAAAACAAAGTGTAGCTAAATATGCTTTCCATTCTCTCAAGAGAAACAAGAACATTCAACTTACTGGGTACTTTCCTCGCGCGGATCGACAGACATTTCATGACAAAGCGTCTTTACGATCATCAAGCTTATTATCGAACTATACATTATGAAATAAAAAACGATAATTACCGGCATATACTACCGCATGCAGGGGAGGACACAGTCGTCGTTTCGGCTCTAAGAAGCCCGAAAATGCGACATCGAGATCGCGGTGGCGACTCACTTGTCAACGTTTCTTCGGTTGGCGTTCGTCGTGTCCTTCCGGTCCTTCGTGGTACCTTGGTCTCCGATCGATTGATCCTGCAGCTTCTCCCGCAGCTCCTGGACATCGGATTCTACATCTGTCTGCGTGCCGAAGTCCCGGCCGGCCGGCGTTCTGTACTTGCTCGGCGTCAACAGTCTGTTCTCTACGACGACCGACGAGGTGTCCCTCGAGGACCTCCTCGGATTTCTAGGACTTCCAGTATTCCTCATGATCGCGTTGAGCCCCAGCGAGAGATAATCCGCGGCGTTCTCCGAGAATCTGCGCGGGCTTGGCGTCATCACCAAATTCACCAGCTGCAGATTCGCCCTGCTCAGGATCTCTGGATCCTCCAGTCGGCCGCTCAGCACGATCGCCACGTCCTTGCTCACGGGAACCTGGAGAGACCTCGGGTTCAAGTCCAGCGTGGTATCTTCCGACTTGTCCGCGTAATTTATCCGTGAACAAACTTCCCTCGGATCTTTGTCGGTCTCGCTTTCTCGATTGTCGGCTTCCTTGGCGTCCTTCGGGCCGGACTTTTCCTCGGGATAATTGGTCAAGTTCGCGCTTTGCTTCTGTGCCTGCGAGCAATTCTGTTCTTCGCGTTTGTCGTTCACATTCGCGATCGCGTTCGATTCGTTGGAAGACCGCGTCACTACGTCGGTGTCCTCGTCGGTGGTCTCCTCTCGCTTCCGCCGATTCTTCCGTTCTTCCTTCGCCAGCCGCTCCGCAGCTTCCAGGACCTCGCGCATCGCCTGCGCCTTCCTCAGCTTTGCCTCCTCCTTCTCGCGTATCATCCGTTGCTCTTCCTCGAATCTACAGCGGAGTGAATCCATTGAGGATGATTTGTAACTTTAACAGAGACTTTAAGTTTTTTTTTTATATTTTATATTTATTTTACCTTTCTCTGTCTCTTTCTCTTTCTCGCCGAATTCGTTCCTCTTCCAACCTCTCCTCCCTCATCCGCCGCTCTTTCTCCTCTTTTCTCTGCCTGTCCTTCTCCTCGAGCTGCTGCTTGATGGCAGTCTGAAGTTCCAGCGCTTTCTGCCGTCTCGTTTCCCGTTCCTGAAGAATCTGCGCGTCCACTGGAATATTCTGACCCCGAAGGTAAGATACTTTATTGATGTCAGAGCCGGTCGAGCCAGTCGTTGAACTGTCCGGGCTACTCGCGCTGTCGTGATTGATTACCAGAACCTTGACCAAGAAATGAGCATTTTGATTAAATTACAAAAATTGTGGGATAGATGAAATAAATGCTCCCGAATAGTTTTTAAGCTAACGGCTTTAAAGATGCTCAACAAGTTCTTAGTAATCATTACTTGGCTCGACTGTCCTAATCTTGATAGCCAAGAGGGCGGCGGTGGGTCGCCTCTCGCTGCGTCTTGACCCCAAACACTGCCCCACCTTGGCCTGTTGAGTTCACCCATTCTGCCCGGCGAGAGCCTCCTCGATGGTGGCAGTGAACTTTCAGGGGTGGTGCAGTAAGGATTTTGCCACGTTTTCTCCGTCATTTCCATCCTGCTTGCTGCTTTGTCAGGTAAAGCTCCTTAAACCGAAAAGAAAAATGTAAATTTTATTACTGTTGACAAAGAGAATGATTAAAAAATATACGGGGTATTTTAGACTATTACTGTCATCTGTAGAAACTTTTATACATCCTTTTTATTTAATATTCTTGTTTATATTTATCTGAATATTCATCAAAAACAAGGTTTTCTATTGTAAAACATGTCCTTCAATTTTGTCAGTTAATAATGGATCACACTTTTGATATTTATATACGTAATTTAGGGACTAAAGTACAGAGGAGGACTCACTTTGCCCTGCCTGTGGCACATCCACGGAATCGCTGGCGTAACCGGAAGTCTCGCCTTCGCGCTCCTCGCCCGGCGAGCCGTAATGTCGTGCCTCTTTTTGGCTCTCGCGATGCTCGTTGGATCGATGGCGACGGTGTTCCAGTTTTTGCGATTTCTGTGACTGGTATCGCGATCCCTCCACGCCGAAGTCACGCTGCTGTTGTTCCTATACGAGGCGAGACGATAATGATAAGGCGACTTCGGGAAGCGAAAGGCAGGCGCGCGGGCTTGCGTGATAGGGTGCGAGGGTTCCGGCTTTCGTGAAGAAAGGAACTGTGTTCCGTCGCGTTCTATGCACCTATTGTGACTGAATATTACTATCGTACCTGCCGGAGACGGGACGCATACATAAATCATGCACGAGCTGGTTTTCTTATTTTTACCCGCTTACATATATAATGAGAGCGCCCGACACGGGCGGTTGCATGACAATATTTTCCTTCAAAACTGAATAAATACGCGTATTATATAACTGATTTATTATCCATTACTTATATCACATGCGCATTCTATATAGAAGCGTAATGATTGATTTGAGAAATGCCTGCATTTAAAACTTTGCATAACCGAATAGTCCAACATTTATTAAAAAAAAAAAAAGATAAAGAAGTCAAGATATCAAAAATTTAGTTTTCCTCATTGTTAAAATAAATTTTTGCAATTAAAAAAAAAAAGAACAAACAAGCTGGACTACTACGTTAAGTTTTCCAGTCGCAGGGTAATTTAGTTATTTTAAACGCAGAATATTTTTTAGAGCAACGACTGCGATAAAATCGGGTTTGTGTTATCAGCGGTTCCAGCAATCGCGGGGTAAACGGGGGCGAGCATAATGTCCGCTCGCCACTCTTAAGTTTGAAAGCGAGGTGTATAGCCTTGAGGTCGTTGAACTTCAATCGCGCGATAAGAATCGATTTGCCGGACTGCCTTACTTTTGCTTTTCCCTCGAAAGGGCAATGTACTATCGAGGGTCATTCGCCGTTTTTATGAAATTATGATTAGACGTAATCGTTAATTTGATAGATCGTTGAATTTTAAATGAGAGCTCAATCTAGAATCCCAGATAGACACACAATGAATACTGTGCCCTTATCCGGATCATAATTTCTATCTATCTATTTCTACTGAAGCCGCATCGCTTCGAAAAAAGTGTTTGAAAGGAAAAGAATTACACAAGTATAACATCTTGATATAAAAATTATATATAATGAAAATTAATGTATAACAAAAAGAATTTTCGATTTATCCTCTATATTTCTCAATATCCTTGATTTATAAATAAAAATCTGTGCTACTTAATTATTCGATTATTTTTTTTTATCTACGTGACATCCGTGGAACATTGCCGCACGCAAGTAGGTTTGCGGTAAGCGATCAATTATTCAAGTTTCCATCAGAGCTTTCATTTGTAGAAAAACCAATTCGTGATCTAACATAGCAAAGTTATTAACGAACTAATCAAAATTTTTATTGAGGATTCATATCAAAATAAATTTACTCGAATGAATTAAGACAAGACATATATATTAAACTCTTTCGTCTTCACGAAATCCCTTCAAATTTATTTTTCGAGCTCGGCTTATATGATAATTTATTATTATTAAATATAATTCAATAAAATGAGAAGATACGTACCAGCTGACAGAAATACTGCTGTTGCTCCTTGTTGAAAATCGGAGGTAGACTGGGGCTCCTGCGTCTGACTGGCGAAGTCTCCACCTGGTCCCGAAGATTAATTAAACTGCCGCCGCTATAGTCAAGACACTTGAGGTTGCTATTGCCATTCCCGGAACTTTCCGTTGCCAGACTTTTCAGACTGATGGTGCTCCCGTAATGTCCGGTAGTACGGAAGGGTTGCGCCGAAGGTCTATCCTTTATTTCCCCCAAAGACAATCGGGCTTCGTTGGAGTAAGTACTGTATCAGAGATTTCTTATTTTATTATCAGGAAACAAAGAATTTCAAATTTATGTTAACAAAATGAATTATTTTTAAAAACTTTTGATTAATACGTAAATAATCTATATATATGCTATAGTACTGAAATAGAACAGTTAAGATTTAATTAATCGCGTAAAGTTCTGTTTAATGATGGTAATATAATATTTTGTAGTGATTTAGTGCACCTACCGGATATGGGTGCGGTTGTAATTGCTATTAGACTTCAGGGTTCCCCAATTAACGCCAAGACGAGCCATTTCTTCTGTATAGATAAAAAAATACTTCTCGTCTAGATACCATTTTATTTTAAGTAGTGTCTAATCATTGCAAGTAATTGCGCAATAAATTAAAATAATATAACAAGTTTTTCAATTACAATAAAAGCACTTACTATATAAAAGAAATAACTCTATATACCTGTACGTACCTTGATATCTTTACTTGTTTTATACTAAATAATAAATTAAGGTAAAATATTATATTGTTGTAATAAATAAAAATGTAATAGATAGCACAAAATATTTATGTACTTTTTATGCCGCAACTATAAAATTCTAGGAAATTTATAGAATTCTATCGATTTAGGAAACTTTGCAAAGACTAAATTTCTTAAGTACGTGCTGGTCGTTAGTTCACCTACCCCTTTCCCTCGCCCACTGGAGTCTCTTCTGTTCCACCAGTGACGTCCTCCCGGTCATCCTCGCACCCGATTCCCGCGGGAAGACGTAACGAATAAGCGCGGCAGCGACGATGGACAATCGAAAAAGGCGAAAGAGAATCCTAACTAAATCCCCTCAACTAAACCCGCAATCATTGATAATCTCGACTGCCTACCTATTCGGGGATCAGCAACGGTGGGACGTTCCATCAGCAATACTCGGAACCATTTGGGACTCCTCGTGTCGTTCGACTAAACTGTCTTTATAAATTCGCTCGCGCATACTTCCGCAACCGATATTCTTTATCGCGAGACTTCAGCACAAAATCACATTGTGTTCCGAAGCGCATCTTTGTGCCTGAAGAAGTCAATATCAAACCTACCCGTAAAAAGGCGAGAGTATCATGCGAAGTCTCAAGTTTTTAAATAGGCTTTTTCTCCAGAGAACATATTTTATCGCGTCGAAATGTGACAATTTGAAAAATTTCAATCAAGACCTGATCATTGTCAGATACGTGATTATCACTTGTTAATTAAATTTACCGGCATCCGGGACTCCGTTGTTGGAAATTTTATTATACTGAATATCTAAAATCAATTACACGTTGACCGATATTTTAGTAAATAATTTCTTAATTCCATCCCCCTGATGATTTTTTAACTTTACAGAATTTATGGACATCGTCTTCAAGATTAGGATGATGCCAAACTTTAATCACCGGAAATTCCGATAGCCTTCAACTCTTTCTCGGCACTTCGAACGCGTCAACTAATTTTTTTAGTCACTACCGACGCGAATAAAATCAGGGATTTAGTAAACCGAAAAATTCTTGCGCACCCCTCGGTCGGTCGGAAATCCCGATGATGAATCGCGACCTAGTTTCGATGTCAACCGATTTCCGCCCACGCGAAGCGTTCCATCGTCCAGGGTGGCTTTGCCTGCAAGAGTTGCGCGAGAACGGAATTCTCCGTTAATAACGAAGAAGGAAAGAGACAATTCAGAACTCGACTTTCTATGGTGAAATCTCGTCTTCCGGAAGACAGCCGTTCTCCAGACTCGCGGGATTCCGCGGCTTCTCGCCGCGTCAATATTTGTGCTACTGCCGGGGTGCCGGGGACCGCTCCGTGATAGCCCCCACGAGCCCCTACGGGTGCTGAAGAAGTTCGAGCGACGGGGGTGCGGATTCGATCGCGGGTTTCCATAGGAACTGGTCGCGCGCGAGTCGCACTCCCTTGCACCGTGTCCTCCAGGGTCGATAATATTGACCGTGTCGCGATAAGGGATAATGACCTCCACTTTCGCGGTCAGAGATCACATTCTCGCGCCGCGCCGGCGAGCCTCCCCCTTCTTGTCGAAGCGCGACGGATCTCTTCCGCGAAAGACAATAAATGGATCAAAAAGAAAGATAGCGGAAAGATGAATTAAAAAGACTATTACGAGAAGCTATTTCTCATAAATAAATAAAGAGATCAAAAAGGGGACCACTTTGGATTTAAGGAAGTTAAGGAAAAGGGGACCACTTTGGATTTAAGGAAACCACGTTCATGCGAGACTTTGATTAATAGTAAGAAAAGGATGTGTGCATATGTAAAGTAGGTTTTAGCGTTATTGTAAGATACACGAGAAGCTTTTATCAAACGTCAGCGAAGTAAAAGCACGTTCTGCGAAAATCATAATCGGCTTTGAGCCATCAGACGTTGCTTTTATTTACGCCATACTGTTATTATGTAAATTATATAGATATATTGTATATTTTAAGTATAAATATGTGAATCTCTGGGTGCGCCTTGTACGCCGTAAGACGCGGCGCGTTCATTATTTATTTACCAACAGATTGTAAGCTTTTTATATCGAAAGTTGCATGTCATTTTCTTGATGCCTGTAATAAAAAATAAATTTTTTAAATATATATGTCGAACTTTTGTTAAATTTGAAAAACAAACGTCTTCACCTATTATATTTGTAAAATTTAAATGAATTTGTAAGAACAAAAATTAAAGAACTTCCATCCATATTATAATGACATATATACGTATCTATGATTTTATTACCAAATAATAAAAGAACATATTTCGTCGGTATATTATCTATCGGAAAATTTCGCGACAGATCACTCCAGTCATTTCACAATTTCACTTATGACGGCGCACGGCGCTGTCGCGAATTTTATCTTCCCACGCGATGCGGTCGCGGTTGTTGTTTATCCGTCACCTGCTGTCAACCAACTGTCCAAATCATCGTAGATAGATTTCTTCCAATTTCCTCTAATCTGGGGCAGATGCGCGTCCTGATTCTGTAGAAAGTTATGTCGCTGGACCAGACAGTATGCGAAGGTAAAAGAAAGCACATTAGAAAGGTGACAGATGTCATGCTATATTTAAAACCGGTGTAGAAGTAAACAATCTGTTGTCAAGTGTGCATCAGTTATCTTCGATAACTTGACTGTTGTCTCGAGTCGAAGATCAAGTGAGACTGTTCGTCGACTTTAGCGTTAATGACACTCGATTGGTTCTGAAATGAACGACGTCGATTTCGAGGTTATCCTCCAACCTGAAACTTCTGCTTCTCGCACTTTCAGATTTGAAAGCTTTCGAAAGGCGACTCACTGAAGTTATCGCCAGCCTACAGCCGGCTACCACGCGATGGAGAAGTACGTCCTTTAAAAATTTTTTTTATATACGTGTTTGCAGTGTTTTCATAATACATCTATAAAATACTATGATATAAACAAGTATTCTTTGAACTTGCTAGTTGTCTCACAATTTTTCTAAGATATCTTATCATTCTGATTATGTACGCTCAACTATTTTGCTTGTTAGAAGCTCATCCTGCTATCTTATGGTTCTTCAACTTGTCGATTACCCTAACAATAAGTGTCTGGATGTTCTTGCAGTGCTGCTGGGTTTAATGTCCATTTGCACCGCCATCGGTGCCTGGCATTGGTTGACAGATCCTAATACGTCAGCAGTATCCTTCACGCAGAGTTTATATAATCATCCATTCTTCACGATGGCTAGTATAATATTAGGTAGATATGAAGAAGCATCCCCTGTGTATTTTACATAAGTTGAAATTACAATTGCATTGATGGAAATCGTTTTGCAGTGATATTGTTTATGATGGGAGTGCATAGACGAGTAATAGCACCTAGCATTATAACCCAACGAGCCAGGAGCGTGCTTGGTGATTTCAACATGAGTTGTGATGATACTGGAAAGTTAATTCTGAAGCCCACAAGACCTCCTCATCCCCACGAGACTTAGAGTGTTTGCGACGATAATAATTATGTGTTCATTATTTTGTGCGCTACAAGATTGTTCCGAAATTACGGCGAGCAGAGAATTTAAAACTGTATATTTTTAGCCTTATGAGTTCTAGTGAATTATGCATATATGTGATCTCTTGTATAGCGCACATAAAATTTACACACGTGGATATGCCCGAGTATGTATATAATCTTGGAATCGCAACTTTTTTGGAATTTGAATTAATGCTATCTCTTACTTAAGAAATTATATTCTTCTAATACTTTGACGACTTAATATCTTGACAAAGTATCAGACGACTATATTGAGTAAGAGGTGACATTGAAATTCCACGAGTTACAATTCCGAAAATTCCTGAAAATTTACCTTTTTATTCGAGCACAAGTTGAAACTTGAAAATTGACGAAGAAAATCCATAATTAGACGAGAGACAGTAAACTAAAGAGGTAGTAACTATATAAAGTTCCCAAAATCGATTCCAAAGCCGCAATGTATATAACGATCAAAACATTTATTCCGCAGTAATATTCCGCATATTACAAATCTTCTGTTCCGATTTCAATCTGCACAGTCACGCAATTTGTCTTTTTAAAATAGTCACATGTACAACATTATAATCTATGCGGACTCTATCGTTCGTTCACAGTCAGATATTCATGAGGAGTGTCTTGTCAGTTCTGAAATCGTACTAGACTACAGTATGTAATATATACAAGTGATGGTAACGCAACCTCGGAGTGCTATCTCCAACATACCAATCAATGGACAGTGATTGCGTATTTGAAAAATATCTTGTAAGATGTCTAACAATTGTACAGAGGTTCAATGCACAAAGTAAACACCGTCACTTTTTAAAAATATGTGTATACATGCATCTACACCTCGTTATCGGCTTAGAAAGCCTCGGCTAGCCCCTGTCAATTCTATGAATTCTGAATTTCGTGATAATTTTGGATAAATTGCAAACTGAGTTTATAAAATGGATTTCACTCTTGCTTAATCATTTTACGATTTTCGTAACAAGCGCACAACAAATTTGATTATGCGCGCTGTTTACATGTATATATTGTACAATCCGAGATAGATTGCTGATAGGATACAAAATAAATCTTGCGGGATATTTCAAGTTTTGTCAGATTTGCGTCGCATTGCATTGCAGGAACATCGTTATCTTTCATGCCGTTAGGATATACATATATATAAGATATACATAAGATACCCTCTCTTCTGTAACAATTTATTTCATAAAAATGAATTTATGTTAACCTACTTAGATACTGTACGCTGTTTCGCGAAAAAGGATTCAAAAATGAGTTAGGCAACTCGTCACTTAAAGTACAAAACCGAGAATTACGGTACAAATTATATATTTTTCTTCATGCCCTCGTATTCATTTGTATTCGCCGTAAGAATGGTATCCAGTCGTAAGAATTTCTTATTTATATATATGTACATGTATAAATAAAAAATTTCCCAAGAAAACGATTGCGAACATTACTCTCAGTATCAACAGCTTCAATAACTTTTCTCCTGTCTGTCGGTACTTCCCCGTTTCGTACTTTACGCACGTAATACTCGAGGACTCTCATTACATATATATATATATCGAATTTATCAAATGTTCCACGGTACAAAGTTCGCCGACTACAATCTTTCAGACTTTGTCGTCGTATAAATCTCTTGTACTATGGATCTCTCGACGCGTTTCCGTCTACTTCCGCGTAAACCGAAGTGAATGAACTATATAAACGCCACTTGCCCGAGTGCGTTCCCAATCTTACACTAGTGCATGGAAAACAGATCGCCGGCGGAAGGAAGAGGTGCCAGGCCGCCAGTCACGTCGGGCAATTGCGTCAAATCGGGAAGATTCGAAATGTGAGACTTTACCTCCGACCGAACTGCACACACCTTCTTAAGCTTTTCTTTATAGTCCTGAGAAAAAAAAACAATTCTTTATAGTAAATGTACTAGATTTATGTTAGATATCGTTTAAATAGTGAGAAAAGAAAGCAATCCTACCTCTAGAGTGCTTTGAGCCTGTTGAAGTAGCTGCCTTTGCGCCAAAGTGTAATCTCGCAGCATCGTCAGCAGTCTTCTCCTGTCCTCCATCTCAGCTTGCAACCGTCCGTTGTAGTCGGCGAGAAGGGCGGCAGCTTCGTTTACCGCTGCACTCAACTGATCCGCAGCCGTTCGATCAGCGAGATTCGCGAGTAGCGAAACTTCCGAGACCTCCGGTGGTAAGGACGCGATACGTTCCCTAACGCCAGCGTCCGAGGACGCGGTGTTTTCCAGATCCTGAAAACCACAGAGAAGGCTCCGTTAATCCACGACGATGTTCTGGATCTTCCAATAAATTCGTCACGTCCCTCGCAGAATTCCTCACCATCGCTACATTTAGTACAATGTACTTTGCCCGTACGAGGAAGAGCAAAACACATGACATGTTGCTGCAACGCAATGAGTAAAAAAAAAAAATCGATCAATCAAAAGATTCTGGCATTGAGAGAGCAATAGCAAGGGTAATATTCCTTGCACTGAAGCAAAGCACTGATCAATCACTAAAGAAAACCAGCATCCGCTCGATTTACTCCGCGAAAAGTGAAGCTTTCGAGAAACCAAAAGAGAATATGCAAACGTAAATTCTATTTGGAGTGAAAGAAAGCGACAACACAGCTAAACAAAGCATGAAATCGATAGGGTGGATATATTAGAGTTGTTATAGCGTCTGCTGATATGCCTCATGGATTCAACATGTATTTTCATATGAACAAAATATTTTATTGCTAACGATACAAATTCCGCATCATGATTGTTGTTTGTATAATTGATATTAACCATTAAGGCCTTGATGAGTTCCTCGGTTTCCGGTGGATCGCCGCCGGGGGTCCTCGGGCTCAACGTTACGTGAAGCTCTTTGGTGCCGTCCACCTCCACTTCAGTCTCAGACTTCTTTTTCTCCTTCTTTTCCTTCTGTAAGCGCAACAGATGCATGTAGATCTCATTTATCGCAATTGATTTATTCAGAAAACAATTCAGCAATTAAAAAATTGTTTGGTATATAAAAGAGCTGTATTATTTACGAAATATGTTTGTTGTGCTATAGATATTACATGAGTTCTGTTATTTTCATGCATCTCTATGCGTTCAATACGTACTTACGTTATTTTCAAACTAAAAGTTTTAATTATTAAGGGTTCTCGACGTAATTTAAGAGTACCTTTGTTTTTTCTACTTCGATCTTTGCCTTCTTTTTTGGTGGTGGTGCTGCAGAGTCCTTTTCAGATGGAGCGAAAGCCGCTTTAAATTCAGCTATCTGTGCTTTGTCGTAGACCCCTCTCTCTTCCCAAATTTGTAGTAACCTGTTCAACCGGTCTCTCGTCTTGTCGTCAAAACCCTTCATGTGCTCGAAAGCTTTTGGCAAGACTGTCTCGAATTCCTTTCCAAACTCTGGCCCTTTTTTCTTGCTATTTTGGATGACGTCGTTTGCGAGATACATAAACATCAACTTGCGATTGTCCTTTACTGTAAAAACGTATGTAGAAAATATTAAATTTGCGCTAATATCTTTTGCATAAAGGATCGGAGTCGCAGGAGAGTTACAATTGTACAGACAAGGATTCCTGTTGCTATAGTTCGACCATTCGTCTCAATTATGGCTATTCAACTGTATTTGGATTCCTTAAAATGTTTTTCACGCTTAAATAAATTCTATTTTTCTCATAGTAAATTCAAGTATTATTGCCATCAATATTGCTTCCAATAAGCATTAACATATCACCTTCTATTATCTTCACTTGACTAGAAGATAGCAGTAGTTTTAAATTTGATATGATTTAAATAAATTTGATTTATTTGATTTAAATAAATGGAAATTCAACAAGTACCGTATCTTTTCTTAACACATATCCTCCCTCCTTAAAAATACCTTAAAGGATCAATGATTAACAATTGTTTCAAGCAACGTTCATCGAAAACAGATACCTATCCAAACTACATAACCCTGTGTCAGAAACGAGCCACAATTGCGACGATTTACGGCCCCCCACGTGCTCTACAGCAATTGTATCGCCTTTAATTAATTGTTTTGTCATTTAGAAACTTTGATGACGCTCGCCCGGGACGGCGAGCGTCGCGCGGGACGTCCTTCCGCGTCGTCGGGCCCAGGATAACGTTTCGATCCGGCGGACAGGACAAACGCAATCGTTGACGAAAATTAGCCCGTACCTTTGCACATCTCCTTGAACCAGATCTTCACGATGGTCGGGTGGTGCTTTCTGTGATGTATCAGCCAGAGCGAGAGCGTCTGGATGCTCTGCTGCGACGGGTTCAGGTCCATCAGCCGTTTGATCAGGGCGTTCTCCGTGAACCCCGTCATCGCGCCGTCGGCGAGGGTCCTCGTCGGGGTCTCTCGGTCGGATCAGAGACGAGGTCGCGTTTGCGGAACGCACGCGTATACACGAGTGCGGACCGGAGACAACAGCTGAACCAAGCGCAAACGTACGACGACGACGACGACGACGTCGGAGGCACGGAGGGACGCGCGCTTTGCGCAAGCGCACCGAGATACTTTCGCCGCCAACACCGTCGGCGGCAAATCGCGGAATCTACACGAACTTTCTCCCCTTTCGATAAGCGATACTCGGATTGTGCCGACCGAGTTGCCTCGTGGCTTCCCGAGTTTCGCGCTAGATGGCGCCACCATTCAGTTTCAGAAGGAAAAATAGTTTCTTGTCTATTTTTGTAAAAATAAAATCATACAATCCATACACCATTTTCTTTTTTTACGCTTATTCGATCTGCTTAATTATTTGTCAATCAAATGGGCGTGACCGATGATATGAAACAGCTCGGGAAGAGATAGACGATTAAACCGATTTAGAACAATAATTTATTCGTATATAATTGCCTTATTAGAAACGGCTATATGTATATGCCTAATGGACAAATTATTGTATATACAGTACGTACGATTTTCGAAACAATAACTTACTTCGTACACAACTATTTTAGCGCTATGTGATAATGGACAGTTATTGCGTCTTCTCTTAAATATCAATAATTTCGTCGCTTATGCATTATTAATATAAATCGTTAGAACATTTATAACATATCTCTTGCTATTTGCATAATATTTACAAATTTTATTCACGAAGATAGAGATTATCATTTCATCGAGTTCAGCACTCGATTTTGTAACAAACCAAATTGTAATTAATCGTTACAATCAGTAGTTTCGCACTTATAGAACGCAATTAGAAATTAACAAAATACTAAACGTTCAATATCGCAAACATAATATTATATAAAAATTAGAGAATTTAACGTATTCAATTAATTTTCTTTTTTTCTAGCTTCAATTCTCAGAATTTTTCTATAGAATCTGAAGAGAATTACTTTTTTTTCTGAAAGTATTTCTGAAAGATTATAAATGGAAATAATTTCGAGGTAAATCGAAATATTTCGCATTTATAAAGAAAAGAAATAAAAATCGATTTTGTGCACCAATTTCTGGGATTTGACACACGCATTGGATTTTTTCTTTTCTTTGGGTTCTCAAAGTTTAAGTATTGATGTATAATGTAAATTTAACAACGTTCAGGTATATACATATGTATACAAGTACGCATACATTTAAGATGTACACCGTGATTGCTTTAATTTTGGCAGTCGGTCGAGTTTCGCTAAAGCAGCTGGATGTCTATCATTCGTCGAAGCACTTAGAAAGGAAAAACAATTAAAAACTATGCATTGTACTTCTACAATCATAAAGAGTAACTATAAGAGTAAATACGGTTGCTTGAAACGATATAAAATAAATGCCAACTACTCTCTCATTAAACTTAACACAAATAAACGTATGTTCCTTGAAAACATGGATATTCGGCATCTATAAACTTGAAATTGATAGGATCTGAGAGTAAAAAAGGCAACCTTATATCGAAATTTTATTACACCTATATGTAAAAAACTAACCATATGGAATAATTACAAGAACGGCAATTTTCCTCGATAATACTCTTAATTAATACTGTATCGAACTTCATTTGCTCGGTTCGCAAATCGATATCTAAGAAACTTCGGTTTGCGTCGTAAAAAATATTCGCCGCTTATTGTTAGAATGACGGTAGCAAACTTAATAAATGAATAACGAATTCCTAATAATCAATTAATCCTAGAACGGAACGAAACGTAATGCTGACCGAAGAAAATCACGATTCCACTCTGCCGGATATCTCGCCGTTTATTTCCGTCTTCAGCTTCTGCTCCTCTCGTCCAACTTCATCGTGTTGCCCCTGTCCCACTTGATCATCCACATTTACTTCCTCCTCCTCTTCCTCTTCTTCCTTGCCGCCTTGCACCACTTCCTCCTTCACCGTTACACCACTATCGCGCTTCTCAGGCTCGCGATTCTTTTCGCGAGCGTTCTCGGTCGACGAAGAGTGGATCTCTTCCCCTGGACGGTGGAAGGTCAATACGTGATGATCCAATTCCGCGCTGAAGAAGAACTTGAGCGTGCACTTGGAGCAATCGTACGGTCGCGCGTCCAGTCCGTGTTCCTGTAGCATGTGATTCTGCGAACAAACGCGTTGTTTCGTATTCGAATAAATAAAAAGAACGAAATAATTAACTTCTGTTTCAATATATTTAATATGAAAAAGAGGCGTAAATTTAAACAAAAGCATGAAAAGGACGAATCTAATAAAAAATATGCAATCTCGTCTGTAGCTAAGAAAAGGTTCTAAATTCACGCGAAATATTTAGGAATCAATAGCGATTAAGTTAAATTTTCGTTCAAAGAGTTAGTGAATTAATTTGTTTTAATTGCCATTTTTGCGCGGATTTTTGAAGTTGTTATTCGACCATTTTCTTCTCTGACAATCTACGGTCGTTGCCATAAATTTGAATGAATAACTGTTATTTTACGTTTGAGACATATTAGCAGACGGTTAAATTACCTGGAGGCCAATGGGAGTTGTGAAGAGCGACTGGCAGATGTAACAGCTAAGGGCGGCACAACCGGCGAAAGTGTGCTCTATTAAGTGAATTTGCAGCTGCATAGGACTGGCGGCCTCAAATAAGCACAAGTGGCACCGTAAAGCCTCCAAGGATGCTTTCCCCGATGCCTCCAAGTGTTCCTTCCTTACGTGTTGCTGAATTTTCGCTTCAGTTGGAAACGACATCTAGAAATTTTAATATTTTATCTTGAAAATTATATTCACTTAACGATATAAATTTATAAACAGTATCGTTTTCAAAAGAAAGAAAAAGAGAAAAAAACCTATAAAATTTTTATGGAAATCTTTAAAATTTTAATATCCTACATTTTTATCTTTTTAACGTAAATTATTCATAAATTTCTATTTTTTCGACGTTTAATTTCTTCACTATTATTATTTTAACAAGGTAAAAATTGGATTTTTTTAATTGGCAGATGTCTTTTATATTTTATCCTACATTACTCTAATTATTATTAAAATTACGTGAAATATTCCATACTAACTTGACACTGTATGCAGGTGTAGGTATTCAAGTTACCGCTGGCGGCCTTTTCATGCTCGGCGATCCTGTGCTTCTCAGCCTCTTCGGGATCTTCGAACTTCACCCCGCACTCTTCGCACCGTTTTTTATTCGCGTTTCCCTCGTTCCTGGATCGATCCTCCACCTTGACTCCTCTTTCGTGTTCCCACTTATCCTTGGCCTCGTCCCACTGGCCGTCCTTGCTCGCGAGCCAGGCCGCCTCGTATTTGGCCTGATGCTCGTAGGTTGTCGAGTTCAGAATAGGCAGTCCCTGAGAGTGTCGCATGTAGCACGGTTTGCAGACTCTGAGCAGCTGTCCGCTTGTACTGGCAGGATTGGGTGGTAGATTGACGAAGTCCTCGGCCGCGAAATCGCGCAAGCAGAGGCAGCAACCTTGATTCTGGCTTTTGCCGCCACCAGGACTGGTCGGGCTGGAGCCGGCGCTGCGCGATCCCGAGGACGTTCGTAGGTGATACCGCGCGTGCAGACGACATTCCAGATCGCTGATCAGCGTCTGTCGGCAAACGACGCATGGCGCGGGCAGATGAGGCAGCGTACTGTCCAGTCGTTGTTGCGGATCCACGTTCCCCAGACTGTGCCTTTGCACGTGATCTAGGAATTGACTCTCCGACGTCAGACAACCGCGACATACCACGCACGTGTCGCTCAGTTGAATCTTGCAGTGCTTCTGGAGCTTGTGTTCGGCCAGGCTCGCGCTGGACGGGCACACCTCGTCGCAGATATTGCACTTGTGACGACCACCCGGTTCGTTGGACGCGTGCTGAATCCTCGTGTGAGATTCCAGCTCGCTTCGCGAGCGACAGACCTCGCCGCAATAGCCACATGTCATGCTCAAGGTAGATAGAGACTTGGACAGCTTCGGGGGTGTGTGGGCGAGTTTCTTGTGTGCCTGCAGCTCGGCCTCGTTCGCGAATTCACCGCGTTCGCAGAGCTCGCATTGCTGACCGGAAGTGCCGTAATTTGGACGTTTGTTGTTGTTGTCGCGCTGGTTCACAGAATTGTTGTTGCTTGACGCTGGCGAACGACCCCTCTTCAGAGATTTCGCCTAGAATTTAGCAAAGTTATTTTACGAGTCTTACACGCACTTAATTATATTATATGGAATATCTCTGTATAATACAGTGTAACTGGAGAGAGATAAGGAAAAAATTTCTTTTTATTATCTACAAAATACGGAATCTAAATGTTTAAGAATATATATATTGACCAAATTTGTTGAAATATTTCTACGTTTCTCCTACATTGGCATAGCAATTAATCTTTTTTTTTCATTTTTTTAAATTGTAACAAAACTTACTTCTTCCTGATTTCTGGTAGGTCGATGAACACGTCCGTTTTCCCTGTTTCTGATTGACGGCGCCTGATGATCCTGCGGTGCCTGATGGTGAACCTGGGCGACGTGTCGATCTAACAGAAATTCCACCGCAAAGCCTTCTCTGCAGATGGGGCATCTGTAGAGACTGGCCGAGTGGCTGGCCAGGTGAAGCTGAAGCTCGAGCTCCGAACTGCAGCATGTCCCACAGAAGACGCAGCGCGTTCCGACGATGCCGGGCGTCGAGGCCGGACTTCTTGTTGCAGCTCCGACAGGACTGTTATTTATTAAAGACTGAACGACGGGAGGAGGCGCGTGTACGTTGCGCACGTGGGCCGCCATCTCGGCCTCGCTCCTGAAAAAGCTCCTACCGTCACCGGAACCCGCGTTACCTCCCGGTGGCGAATTCTCGTTGTTGGACAGAGTGCACACGCTACATCGGTAGATCCGGCACTCCTGGCTGTGCTTGACCGCGAAATGCACTTGTATCGCCACCTTGGAGTCGAACGTGTCTCGGCACAGAGCGCAACGGTAGAGATGATGGGCGTGGGAGTCCAACAAGTGTCTCTGAAGCTGGTCCGGATGCGGGTAGAACTTTTTGCAGGCGCCGCACGCGAATTCCTTGCTGACCTGGCCCAGATAGTGCTTGGTCAGGTGGGCCAGCATGTCCTCGCGGGTCGGGAAAACAGTCTCGCACTTGGGACACAGATGCTGCCTGCTGGATATCTCCTGATTGTGATGGTCGGCCTGCAGGTGCCGGGCCACGTGTTCGCGAAAGGACTCGAAATCCTTCAGCGCGGCGTTACACTGGCCGCACAACAGGGTATCGGCGGTGTAGCCGCCAGCGGCGTCCGCGGATGGCCTGGTCGGACGTTTATTCGTGAGATCGGCGGCTTCCGAGACGTCCCTGCTTCTCGGTACCCTGGAGTCTCTCGACGGAGTACTGTCGTAAACGCCGTTCAGTTTCGTCTCGCTGTAATCTATGCTGGTTGTCGGCGCCAGTCGACGATTCTCGCAGTGCTGAAGAACGTAATGCTCGGCGTAGGCTGCCGTCGAGGTGCACGGAATGCCGCACAACGGGCATATCACCATCGTCGCGCTGAAACCACTATCCACTCGATGTATCGACAGCGAATGCTCGCGCAGGCAGGCCAGAGTGGAGAATTTCATGGTACATTGTTCGCAGGTGAAGGCGTTCTCGTAGTGGTCCCGTTCGCCGGCAGGCCTGTCGGCTCTCTCCTCAGGCGGGTATTTCCGATCTGAACGCGAGTCCTTCGAGCTGTCCTGGCGATCGGGTGGCTTATCGCGCGAGCAAAACACCGCTTGCTGCTCGTTCGATGTTCTGCTCGGCGACGGCGGCCGCGCCAGACCCTCCGCGCCGCTGAGGATCGCCTGGTGCATCGTGCGCACGTGCATCTGTAGCTGCTGCATGCAGCTGAACGAGTCCCGGGTGCAGTACATGCAGGCGAGCTTCAAGGGCGAGTTGAGAATCGGCGTGGTGGACGTGCTGCCGGTACCCTGCGACGTTTTCAGGGTGTTCCTGGGGTTCAGAGTGAGGTTCAACGACGGCGACGGCGACGACGGCACCGGCGGTGACGACGTGCTGTGGGAGGAGACACTTCTCCTACCGTAGTCAATGTCCTGGAGCTTGCCGGTCGACTGAGAGGACGATGATTGGGGATGCTTCTTGTGGGATTGCATGTGCGACGTTAAGGCCGCGGCTGAGCTGTAGCCTCTCGTGCAAGTCGTGCATTGATAAGGCCTCTGGGTGTCGTGCGTCTTCAAGTGAATCTTCAGGTGATCGCTGGGAAAAGAAATACTCATATGTCGAAAGCTCGTGGCGGCAAACGTGGTCGAAGCGTCGCGCTTAAATTGGGATACGTAATAGACAATAAAATTGAGTTAATAATTAAATTATTAACTCGGTCACATATGTAAACGCTAAATGGAATGATCAATAAAAGATACGTGCAAATGGTACAAGATAAAAAGTGAAATGGTTTTCGATATAACACACTACCTCAAATAACATTTTCCATATGTTTTATACGTGTTAAAAATTTTATGAATATTGAAAATTTATTATAGCGATTAAAATAATATTTTTACTTAAAAATGATGTACTGCTCAATGAACTAGTATTTAGCTTCAAACGGTTCCTCTTTTTTAAATTGACTGTTTTTATACGAGTTTTCTCTGACACTTGCGATCACCGTATATCATCATCGGAATAGAAGACCGATGCTATAAGATCGACTTATCTTTAAAACACTAAATTGACTTTCGTTGTACAGATCGAGGATCTAATTCAGGAAATTCTATTTCCTGTAATACGTGGCGAGTCATGTATATTAAGGCTTATCAAAAGTACCACGTGTCAATCAAGTGCTTGAAAATAGATTCGCCTCGTAGAGATATTTCAATTTCCGCGGAAGTCGGACATAGAACCATCGGATAGCGCAGCGATCTTTAATAATACCGCGGGATGTGATCGATAATGCTAATTTATTGGCGATTCGGTAACTTCATCAGTCAATTCGAAGTGAGGTACTCGCGTCTAAAATCGTTTAATGTTGGATTTATCGGTGATGCGATCGACAAGTCTAAATCCGAGGAAAAGAATTAAACGATAGCAATTCGATTAAGAGCGCAACGCGGGATGTTTAATGAAGACGGACGGACGGAGCTTTTCGGCGTAACTTGCTTGAAAATATTTTCCCTCCTCGGACGCTAATTAAGTACCTCACTAATAAAATGCTGAATGTATTTACTTAGGTTGAAAAGATATCGACACCAGGGCGACCACATTAAGCGCGCGATGACATTTCGACCGTTTGAAAAAATAAATAAATAATTCTTCTCCTATTAAGAAGAGAATGTAGCTAAAATCATTCTTCGCCGTACTATCACCGTTTCCATACGGACAAAAAGCTATATTAAAGTATAAATTTTAAACGCCATCGATTCTTTGTATTTAAATGTGCAAGAGCTGCATAGGAAATCGTTATTCTGCATTAAAATAATGAAATAATGGCGTTAACTTTTAAATATCCGATATTTAAATAGTAATTATTTCCAATAATTCTGTATACTTTTTCTCTAACATTAAACGAAGTTCGATACCAAGAAAACAAGATGAAACGAAAGCATCGCCCGCGTTTGTAATCCCTCGTGGAAGAAATGAGAAAAATAACTCGTATTGTTTTTTAAATAATCGACCTCAGTCTTTTACTAGACGACCGCCAATCGATAACGCAGAACAAATAACTAAAGTTAATGATACGGTCGCAAGTTTATCATATTTCTTGCAGGTTTCGATCAAAATAGAGAAATTTTCGCGATATAACTACGGATTTTTTTCGCGCCGTATTTATGATTCACTTTGTCCAAGATACGCGCATCAAAGATGTGTTTTTCGATCATCGGCATGAATAAACAAAGAGTCTGGATATATCGAGTCCGAGATAACTATTTTCGAGGTTCGCACGGATTGGGCGGATCGGGGTAACATCTTAAATCTGCGATAAAAAAAATGATATTTCAGTCGTGATTATTTTACTTGTAACAAGGAGAGCGATATATACGAAGATACATTTATAGCGACGAGCGTTTGAATATAACATCGAGAGAATACAGAGATTTCGGACAGGTCGAACCCGGGTAACGACTCCGGCGATTTTCGCGGTGGACCTGGCCGATGAATAATTCATCGGCCCGGTCGCCCGGTGTACACGTCGGCGTCGGTCCAGGTCGGCGCGGCGGAAAACTGAATCCGCGGGCGTTTAAGGCGAGATCGGTCCACGAGGTCCGAGGTCCGAGTGAGGAGGCGAGGCGCGACGGTCAAGCGAAGCTGTCTCGGCACGCCGAAACGAAGACAGACGGCGAATTTACTCCTGCACTTTGCGTCTGAATTATTCATGCGCCACCAGGATTATCGCCCGGGTGAACCGCGGCTGTCCTATTATCGAGCGTATCTTTTCGCGGCCGACCGAGCGCGACCGATGACGATGCGAGGCGAAAAAAAATGGGAGGAAAAAAAAGATAAAAAAGGAGAACCGAAAAAGGACGGACTCAAAAGCGTCGCGGTCGCTTAACGAAGAGAATGGTCCGGCGACGAGTCCGCGCCGGTCGAGCCGGTATTAAATACTTGCGTATTCCTGTTTTGACGCCGCTATTACGCGGCGTCTCGCCGACGTGTCACCTTCGACGAAAGACGATGAGAGATGACATTCGGACGGTGGAGTTATCCGTTAGCGATGCTTGGCGGTATTCTTAAGCGAAAAAATTTCGTTCGCGATAATAACAACAATGGATTAAACTGATTTCGTCTAGCCCAAATACTCGGAAGTTATGATAGCGCCTATCAATATACTATTTTTCTATTACATCACGCGATACTTTTTAATAAAAGATACTAAAAAATATCCTTAGCGTGAACAATATTTTTAATGTTATTGCGGATGGTATGAGATAATGTAATGTTTCGATTCAGCGTATTTTACATTTTGTCTATCCACATCAGTTTAGAAAATGCAAAAAGCGGATCTAAGACAAACATATTTTATTTTTTCATTTGAAACAATCACATTTGGCTTGTCCAAGATTGGAAAGATATCAAGAAGCTCAGTGATTGAATTATTTAATACTGCGCTTCAAGTGTTCGTTTCCAATAGACACACACACACACACTCTGCAGTATCTATCGGAATTATATTTTAAAAATAAAGTTCCATAAAGACTTGTGTCTTTAAAGTTTAATTCACGAGAACAATATTTTATCTTCAAAGCGCGACCTTTAGAAGAATAAATCTGAAAATAAGTACTTGTAGGTGAAATGCCAAAAGAGCTATTTAGCGATAGAATAGCAGTTAAAGCTTTTGTGACGATTTAACTGTCTAATCCTTGCAAGAATGTAGAGTTCAAGCGCGTAATGGCGAGCAGCCATTATACAAGAAGAAGAAGATCGCGTTTGGGATGCTGAAAGGAAATGGAAATAAATGGTCCGTTAAACTCCACCCTCGCCGGTCCAAAGAATCACCCTATCGCGGTGATTCGTGGGTGCGTGCTCTCGTCAATCTCGAAACGTTCGTTTGTTCCGTAGAGATTCAAGTACGAAAAGTCGTTTGTTCGATAAAAAGTAATCATCTAGTCTCGACTCGTATTTATTGATTTCAAATGAATATTATTTATTAATTTATGCCTAGATGCACGATTTGCAATTTGCATGCAATACCTGCGTCGATACTTGACAAGTCGATTGTGTAAAAAAATTGCACGTCTTAACTTCATTTATCGAAATTAGATTGAAGCGAAAAGGTGACACACAGACGGTGTCAACTGAAAAAACACGTCGGCAAAAGAAGCGGAGGGCATTCGTCCATCGGGAGGTCGGATCGTGATTTCAGCGTTCATGGACCATGAGAATTGCGAGAAACTGCCGATAAAATGATCTCGCTGCCGCATTCCGTGAGAATAAAAACACCACCGTGAGAGACACGGTGTTGCTCGTTAAGATACGTAAGATTCTCTGATTAGTTTCGGTCAAACCGGATCTAACTTTGACAAGTTAAGACATTCTACGTGATTTAAGACTATCCTAACGCAAACATATATTTTCTTTCGAGGTTTTCGGAAATTTTTAAACTTAAAAATTTGTAACAAAAGCAGATAATTTCTTGCCGTTATGTTGCTGATTAGATATTGATTCTCAAGTTGTGTAAGTTGTATGAGCTGTTGAATAGATTTCTATACTTTGGTCTTACTAGTTTTCTTGGATTGACAACAGGGTATACTCTTGGTAGGGAGATGATACAACTGAAACGTTACATTGTTGCGTGTTCGCAATCTGTCATGAGCGAAAGTCTTGGTTAAGGGCTGACAGATCTCTCGCGTTGGATTCTCAGCGTGAGAACCACGGAGATTTTCACCCTTTTGTTGGGTCACCCAAGCCGACTGCTAAGGTGGGAGGACGAATAGAGACGTGGCGTAAAGATCTGGCGGTGCGATTATAATAGCGGTTGACAGATGAGGAGCAAAGACTTGTTAGAACTTCAAGAGAGCTTCATGAAAGAAAAGAGCCTATAAATAGATATTAAAAGTCTGTATCCAGGAAGCAATAACGTTTCATACAACGTTGGATTTTAATTAATAACGCAATCATTTGTAACATGTAAAAGGTAGGATAGTCAAATCTCAAAAGTTGGCGATGTTAATTAAAATTAATTAATTGATAGTATAAATTCGTTGCTAATTCAATCGCAAATTTCTGAAATTCGTTTCTTCGCGAAGGGCAACCAACGACGACGGCGAACGGAACTGCGAAGATATTCGCGCAGTTTCGACGGTCGCGAGCGCGACTTTAACGGCCGGCGAAGGCGGACGAGCGGCAACGAGGCTCTTGACTAATGTTCTACCTGTTGTCCCGTAACACCTATGCGTCCTACCTGTCCGCTCGCCCGGGCCCCGCGGGGGCTCGCGTATACGCGAGCGCACACGCGTGCATACACATGTGTCAAGTTAGAAAAAGGTGCTCCGCGCGCGGGGCCAGCTTAGCATTTCAATGCGCGCAAGACGATTCAATGCCGAGCGTGCGTGCGTGCGTGCGTGCGGGAGAGGGAATATATCCTACGCGTGAGAAAGAGGGAAACAAACAAGCTAGACGATGAGAAGGGTGCGGGGAGGGAAGGAAGAAAGAAACAGCCACGTAAGAGAGTAAGCTTGACTAATGCCACCCGGGACCGCAGTCGTCGTGTGATCATTACTCATTTGTCACCCGTTGGATCGGGGTCCCCTCGAATCGGCCAGTGGGACCCCGTTGGGCCCCGCGCGTCGCGCACCGACAACCGGCAGCACCCCGTCGAGGCAGCGCCTCGTTCAGCCATCTGTTGCGTTTATCGCTGCGCCAGCGCGATTATTTCTTTTACACCTTGATGATTTTTACCTGATTACGTATATGTGTACGTATGTGTATTTTATGACATAATCCATAAGTGTCAATTGAATCTTTTATAGATTGACACGTTGGAAAGAATTCGAAACATTTAAAGAAGGTTTGAAGTTCGAGTTTCGCGGTTTACGACGTCTATAAATTATCGTTTGATAAATTTGGTAGTTGATGATTTCGGAGTATTTCGGATATTTCGCGCTTACCTCCTGGAGAAGGCGGCCTCGCATTTCGAGCAGCGGTATCGCCTGTCCCCGGTGTGCAGCTTCACGTGACGATCTCGGCTGCGTTTGTGCTTGAATAGTCTGTTACACCAACTGCATCGATACGGCATCTGATCGCCGTGGCTCTGCAAACAATACAATCGTCGTGTTACATTACACCACCTCTTCGATTATATGATTTTGTTTATAAAAACATCAGCGCACTCATTTTCATCGATCGGGAAATTGCGCGCTTTACGAAATTACTTATTTCTAACAATTACAATTATAAAAGTAATAAATTTTCCGAAACATTATCGTATCTTTGAAGCTTTGACCAAAATCATGAAAATTCTGTACACCGCTTAAACGTTGCGATCTTTATTATGGTTTTCCTCGTTACAGAATCACGTAGTTCTAGGATATGTTGACGTGCAATTTATAAAGATGTTTTGTTGTGTTATATATGATATAATGAAACGTTAAATATGTACACCACGCGCCAAGCAGGAGTCTTGCATTAGTAATACACTCCAATACTGTTAGTCTCAATTTATATAGAATTCAAAACAGACATTACGAAACAAAACGTGTCTCAACCAAATCTGGGAGAGATATTTAACCGGTTCATGCTTAACGTCTCAATACTCTGCGCGAGAAACTTTATCAAGAACGCGAGAAAAGAGAGAGGAGAGGAGTCGGTGGAAAAGGAGGCGAGCTTCATGGAGCAAGAAGAAGAAGTCGACTCTCTGTCGGCCGCGGGACGCGTCACCCACCCAGATCACGGTGGCCGATATGATCCCATACGGTCACCTTCTTTGTGCCGTGCTCCCGCTCGCGGAACTAAAGCGCTTCTCGTACCGCTCCGGCCACGAAATGGTCGCGACAAGGTAAGTAAGCTTGGCACGTACGACGAGACCGCGTCGGTCGACTTTCGAGCCGTCGGCTCCTTTGAAGAGACAATCTAGACGATGGGCGAAGCGATCGCCGCTTTGGTCTCTCGCTCGGCCGGCCGGAGAGGACCACCGACACCGGACGACGGCTCCCCGATGACGACGAGAAGACCCGTGTGCTCGGCGCAGTTCGATAATCGGACAACAACCAGAGATGTTAAAGAGATGAACACTTGGCCAGAATTCGGGCCATGTGATTGTAATCAGGATGTCAAAGGGTGTCATCGATAAATCGTGTGTTATCGATTGACGCATGTAATGTCTAAGTAAATCTTATCAAAGCTGCTTCTTTCGTCTCTGGATGTTTAATTTTAGAATCCGTGATATCTTGTGAATCTTTAAAATTCCACGTTTGTGGATCTGTCAACGTTAACTTCGCGATACGACAGGTTCGCGAAGGATTGAGATTACTCGCCGCGATTGTCGGTAGAGTAAGGCCAACATTGTGCGTAGCATAAATAGACAGCTATCTGCCTAGACGCGGGTACTCGGGGTCTTGATTATCGGAGTTGTATCTGCGCGCGATTCAGCTCGCGTATGATATATATATATATATATATATATATATTCAGCAGCGGGCTTTCGCGTTGCGAAAGGAAGAAGCGAGGAGGAGACCGAAGGGGCGGCCGCCACCTGGACGAATAACCTGATAACCGGTACAACCTGTTATGGGCACAACGCTACAGATTCTGACCCGATGATGACCCGCGGCGGCCGGCCTCGGACGCGGAAGAACGGTCTAATGCCACCGCCATGCAAAACAGAAAAATCCAAAGGAGAGGACTCGCCACGCGTCTCTCATTCGGGCAGGACACTCGCCGCGCGGAAACGCGTTAACCTGCTGCGTACGGGACTCGTCGACCTCGCGGAATCACACCTCGGACCTTTTCTCACACGGCGCGACAAGAGAGGAGAGCTCTATTCGCGACATGCGCGGCATGGCGCGCATACTAATGCCCGTGACGAATGTCGATCCTTTTGGTTTCGTATTTTTTATCTTTTTTTTTGTCATATGACTGACCTTGCGTCTTACACTGTCGCAAATCGATGCGCACGCGATACTTGAAGTTACAGCAATTTTTAATAACGTCAAAAGCGCATCTACACGAGAATGCACCGACATGGAAGATTGATCTTGTGCTTTATGTTATCGTGATAATGAAATTAAACATTCGATTCTTCTCTACGGACTCTTCATTTCTGTATCTGTGGATCTTTAAATTTAAACGTATGTTTTTGTCTTCAACAATAACGAGCAATTACAGCTAGGGAATATCTGGTGATCGAAGAAGCTGCTCTCATCCTTACCTGTTCGTGTTTCTTCAGGTAGCTGAGCCGCGGAAACGTCCTGTCGCAGAACTGGCAGGGATACGGGGCAGCGGGGTTGTTGCCGTCGGGATTGACGCCGACGTCAGTGTCGACCTCGGGCTCCGACGGGAAGCTGGCCGATGTCGGTGTCGCGCAAGAAGACGGCGTCTCGCCACCGCGACGCGAGTTGGGCCCGCCATCCTCGCTGTGCCAAGAGGAACTTCCGGTCCCTAGGGCCTCTGAAATCAATAAAAAAAGAACCTCAATGACGCCTCGATATATTATCAAATTTTTTTCATCAATTTTCTTTTTTATCAAGGTCTAAATGTCTCGTTAAAGTCTCTTCGCGAGTGTCGCAAGAAGAGGACATTTCTATATTCAAGGCGACCTACGACTTACGAACTCGTTGTACGTATGCGTAACAACATTATGAATCTGGCCGGTCTCACCTCGCCTGTTACGTGTCCCTTTATATCGTTCTCGTAACGAGCAGAGACGGTAAAACTCGTACCATTAACCCCCGAGCCTTGACTGGCACGGGAAAGATCGCGGTCCTGCGCGACCCTAAATCGCGCTAGGCTACATTCAACAGGCGGAACACTTGGCGGGATTGTCGCCTTCTTCGTTAATTCAGGGTCTGACACCTCGCGTTTCGGTCTTTTCTTTAAATAACTTTTACGCGACAAACCAATGTAGTTGCTTAAATAATATATAATATTTTTAATGATCGACATGTAATATCATTAATTAAATATATCATTTTGCATATTGCACGCGAAAAAATTGATCACAAGATTGGTATCATATAAAAGCGTACGTAAAATAATTCCTCGGTATTTCGACGGAAATTACATATTGTAACCATAACACCTTTCATACCCGATTCGGAAGTAGTGACCCCGGCGCAAAACGTCAAATGACTTCGGGGCAACCGGGTCAAGTGGGGGCCCCCGCGTCTCCGTCACAGAAAATCCGGCTCATCCTCCGCCTCGTCGCCGAGGGAGAGCGTGTCGCGCCGCTACTTCCGGCGCAGTCACGCCGCGCCGGCTAATCACAAATAATTTATAATTGCCGGGAATGAGGACTAGAGAGATCACCGAGCGTTCCGTGATAGAGGCGAAGCGAGGCGCGCCGCGCGTAAATGGTGGAAATGACTCGGCTAGTTGGCCGTTTCCTCATTTGTCGCCGGCCCTCGGCGATGGATCGACACCCACGAGTCGATTTAAGAGATTTTGCGGAATCCCAGTCTACGCGCGCGAGAAAGACAAAGACCGCCACCCAGCAGATACGAGCGACGATCGTGGATGCTGCGTAAATGGCTCGCATCCTCCACCCACGCGTCATCCTCGCGAGGTTCGTCGCTTCCTCTCTTAGAAGGACGTCGATCAGGCCCCTCGATTCCACGTGAATTATTACGACGATCAAAAGGCTCAAAAGGCAGGAAAGGAGGTTTGAATACGTTGGAAATCGCATTTTTAATTTCGAGGTAGAATATTCTTAGAATTCAAACACCCGTTTTTATTATAGCGGGAATAAAATTGATAAAATTTTCAAGATAAAACAATTTATATGGCGTAGATAGACGATTGTGGTTCATATTCCAAAAGACAAGAGACTTATTTTTTTCACGTTGCGCAACATACGAGGCACCTATCGAGGCGTTCGCCCAATTGGCACTATGACTGACTCACGCGTTCCGTTGACACTTCGAGTGAATGCTGCGAGAGCTAGAGGTTGGAGAAAGACTGTCTAGGTGCGAAGGAACGTGACCGAACGAAGGATCGTTGCGCGTGCAACAATAGCTAGAGAAGCATATTAGCAAATCAATCTATAAATAGAAAATGTGTTTGCTGTCCATTGTGCTACCGTCATATTTAACATTGACCGATTCTCAGGAATTCTTAAGACATAAGACGAAAACACTCGGCTGACCAGCTGGGCACTCTGCATACCGTCCGCGCTACATGAAGACACGCGAGATGTCGGGGGTGACTCGAGGGAGAGACCTCTTGGTACGAGAGAACTCTTATTTAGATCGTGTCCGATCGGCGACGATGTGTCATCGAGGCGAAAATAGGCGCATTTAGCGGCACGAGCTGCCGATGCACGCGTTGGCGACCTGTGCCGCATCGCGTCGCGTCCCGCTGACGGTGATGCTGTTGTCGCCTCGTGTTCCCGGGACTATTTATAGGCGCGCTTCGACGACGCTTATTAATAGGGGCCCGACTTAACGCCTTCGTTAATTGTGACTTATGCCGGATCGCGCGTGCCTCGCGCGGATTTTCGCGCCAGTGGCGTAGCGCGGATCCGCGGCAACGCGTGAACCGTCAAATGGGAAAAGTGTCTCCTTCGTTTTTTTAGACTAGTATTCTCGTCTGTGAGCATCTTTTTGACTAATCTAAAGAAAGCGAAAGATTTCCATTTTCTGGATTCTGTCGTGCGATTCTATCGTATTCCATTCATTTTAATACACTCGAAATAAATAGATTTTATTATAAGATTCGAGATTATTGGAGATATCTTCTTGGTTACAAATTTGATTTTAAGATCGTTTTGGGAATATCTTCCTAATCGCGAGCGTGACGATTTTGAAAAATCAATGAGAGGTCATTGTACTGATTTAACAGGAAACTCAAGTTTCGTATAATCGTTTCAAGCAATGACATTGGTGTTTGACACCAAGCAGCGTCTCGCGGTAAATATTCACGCTGTCCACTCGCAATTATGGAGTAAAATTATCGCCGCTGTTACCGGCGACAGAGTTTAATAGCGCGCTCGTCAGAAAGCCATTTTGTATCAACTTGTTCTTGGCGATCGTCATCAATCGCAGCATGCTTAAAGGCGTAAGTACGTGTGCGTGTATGTGACTTACAGATCGGTTATTTATTGCACAAGGATGAACATTTATCACGGGGATATTCGCGCGAGTAATAATATTTCACGTATACTTGGTTCGCCAGGCTCAATTTACACGCAATGGGCGATATTTGAAGACTTTAGTGAAAGTCCAAAATCCTCAGAAAGGAATGAAAGGGAAATAGGAAGCAAAAGGGTAATTTTCAGTTCGCTTCAAGCACGTGGATTCGCTGACTAATATCGAATAATATCACAGACTTGATCTAAATTTAGATAATTTATACTACTTAAATCATATTTAAAATTAAGTACTTAAGTAGAATAATGATGTATCGTGTCGCGTTTCAAGGGCTCGGATTCTGCACGTGTAACGTCGCCACGTGTCTGCTTTAACTGAGTGCGATTAGTCAGCAACTCCTGATCGAGGCGAGGGACCAGAAACAAGAAATGAAAGAAGAAAGAGTGACCACCGCGAGAAGTATCGATGCTAAAGGTGATGAAACGAGACGCGATTATAAATACATTATATTCGTTTGTCGTTGATCGCCATATCGGAGCGATAGCGCTAGGCTAAGACAACGCCCAGGCAATTTCTTCTATTGTGCGGAACGTATACAAGAATTCCAGAAATGTAAATACACGATGTAATCACACGAATCAATATAAACCGAATTCCAAATTTGAGCTTAGGCGAAAATACCTTCGTATCGGGACTTGTTATAGTTTCAATAGTAT